TATATACTTTTGTCGTTCAGATATCAGGCTGTATTTTCTTCACTCACACTTTCTGTAAAGATGCCAAATTAAAAAAAAATCGTAGCACAGTGCTTTTATCGGTGCATGATCAAAAGCGGAGAAATTTACTGTTTTATTAACGCATAACAAAATTTTGGACATCATTTGGCAGTGTCTATTTCGCAAACCGCCGAGGTATTTGCATTTATATTTATACCAACGGATAGGAAATTTAATATTCCACATTTCCGTGTAATTTTATAGCCGTACGCAGATCCAGGACCACGCTAGCGCACATCTCGCACAACGTTCACTTTTCAAACCTTATGAAAATGTGCGCCTGAACAGAAGACTCGGCATCAAAAAGGGCTTAGGCTGGTAGGTAGCAGTCTCAGGATTTAAGACAAAAAATGATCTCAGTCTTAACTTTTAGGACTAAAAAATGTACGTGAACCCCGATTTAAGACAATTTTTTGGACTTAAGATCAAAATGACAGACTTAAGCAATTTTTAGACTTAAGTCACTTTCATGACCCCGGGGTCAGGAAGACTTAAACCTTTGTAAGAGGCAAATGTCAGTTTCAGACTCGAGAGAAAAGGGCCTCGTGGGGGCTGTATGGGGTTCTTTCCACATACCTGTCTTCTAATGCAAGAACGAAATGTGTCTCCTGTGTTTTAGTAACCATATGGTTTGAGTTTATTGAATGCAGGTAAGACACAATAGTGTATATGTGTAACATGGATATTGACTTAATGACAACAGATGTCCTCCGACTGAAATATTGAATGAGTTATTACTCAGCAAAATGTATGTGTTCTTTATTAGATTTAGCGCTGTTTGATCAATCGATCGCCTCAAGAATTATCAAAATGAATTTATCTATTTTCGGGGTGCCACTCAGCAAGGTACGTCACATTCCAGCCACTCAGCAAGGTACGTCACATTCCAGCCACTCAGCAAGGGACGTCACATTTACGAGCATAATAGGAACATATCACTACACAGTTGTACTGCTTGACATATCCCTTTCATCGTGATTATCATCAACAGCACAATGAACATTCACTTAATCAAAGAACCAACGGTCATGTTACTGTTACACTCCCGTCCGCCAACACAAACTGCGAATTACAATACACACGAGAATGAATATTTAAACAAGCATGTTTCATATTTCCAGGGATTTTCAGTTTATGCTTATAGTTGAAATTGACCTACGCATATTTAAATAAATTAAACGAGCGGTGGACGAAAGGTTACTAGATGCTTTTCTGATATCCTACGTGAAATAATCTTGACATCGGATGAGCTACCTCTACTTCGTGGAAAATGGCGGCATGATTAGATCAGTTGAAAAAAAGCCTGAATCCGTTTCAATCAAGTTTTAATATACAACATTCCCAAGATAACAAATATATAAAATATGTAAAATGCTAAATGCATTGGTGTCGTTTAGACAGATACAACGTATCTACTACAAAATATATACAGCTTCCTCTTATTCGTTTGGTGTTTCAAAAGGAATAGGCTCAATTTGAAATGATCTACATAAAAGAGATAAGCGGCTTTAATCATGTACATCCTTGTGAAAAAAGTAGATGTTACCACAGAATGAATTTAATTCTAATTATTCCTTCAGGGAAGGACAGGATCCATCTCTGAAGACACTGGGCACTGAAGACAACGGGACTCATGCCAGAGATGACTGCAACTTCGCCCAATGAAACTCATGTAATACAGAGTGTGAATAAATGATGTATAAAGAAATCACCAAATTATTTGTATTTTCATATCTTCTTGATAAGATGTTAAGATATGCCTTGTAAGATTTGTTCGGCGATCTACTTCTGGAAACCATTTCCCCTCAAACTTGAAGTTGTTTCCAGAAGTAGATCGCGGCACAAATCTTAAAAAAAAACCACTTAAAGAAAATCCCTATTAAATAATAATTCCTTCGCCTTGATGAAGTCGGCAGGTCTTAAATGTGAAACTGAGGGCTTCCTTTCTGCTTCTCCGGACCAGTGCCTTCCCACTAGCAATCGCCAAAATGTGATTCTTAAAAAATATATAAACATGAAATGCGACTGTGTAATGAATTTACAGAGACTTTCCAACACCTTGTTAGTGGATGCCCTTCTTTGGCACAAACAGCATATCTTAAACGACATGATGGCATGGCACGTTGCTTTTACTACCGTCTCTACCATGCCTGTGGCTTTGACTCCGAGGTCCATCCATGGTATGACCCTGAACATGTCCAGGGCGTTATGGAAAATGATGCTTTCAAACTTCTGTGGAATAGGCCCATATACAGCCTCAGAAGAATTCCAGCTAACAAACCTGATCTTGTCCTTTTTGATAAGACCAATGAATTTATTTATATCATTGAATTTTCTGTTCCTTTTGACAACAATGTGATTGGTAAGATTCAGGAAAAGCATGATAAGTATGCGGACCTCGCCTTTGAAATGTCTCGCTTGCATACCAAGTACACTGTCGTCAGGCTCCCCATTGTTCTCGGCGCCCTTGGTTTGGTACCTCCTGATCTCTTAGCGCAGATCAGGAGAGTGCCCGGGTTCTCCACCGGGAGCACAACTCTTCTGACAATCTGGGTAATGCAGAAGGCTTCAATGTTGGGGAGCCTTCATATTCTCCGGAAAGTTCTTGGTGGGTTCGACTAGGCAGCGTTTCCTGGGAGAAGTCCCATTCACTGTCTGGGCTGCGTGTAGAGGGGGCGAGGGCCCTGAGCTGATGATGAGCCTTACCGGCCTGACTGTGCATTTTCATCTTTAATCTGTAAAACATAATAATAATAATAATACAGGCCTGATGATGTACGCCTCTCCGTGGTGGGCCTAAATAAGGGAATTATATTCCTCGAACTAAACGTACATCACCCAGTTAGGGCTGACCCCTCCGAAGCTGGTTTTCTTACTGGGTTACAAATAGACGAGAAGAAATCAATCTCTCCCCTCCGCAGCCCAGTCAGCCTTCTTCCGGTAGTCAAACCAACCACACTGGAGATGGGACTTGTCCCAGGGGAAGGCACAGAACCCGATCAAGAATATCTTGGTCAAACCATCTGAAAACCACACTACTTGAGTGTGCGAGAGCGACAGGGTGGCCTGGAAATCCACGCCTCAATGGCAAGTCGCTTAAGCTGCACTGGGACAATGCCATGCCCATGTATGCTTTCCTGACGGAGCAAAATCTCCAAAATCAGTTCAGGCGGCTTAAAAATCTCATACCCCGTGAGCCAGTTCAACCCACAACTGGAGCCCGTCAGGCACCTTTGCATGAACAGAGTGCTCAAGTGGCAGCAGACCCAAAACTTCTGATGGACGTCCGCGTTAACCTCTCTCCTCTTCGTGATGGAAACTCTTCTGCAGCTGGTACCGAGCAAATTGACATAAAAATTTCGTACCCTCACTCTGCCTCTTCCTCAGGTGCAGATCTTTCCGAAAATCCTGTGTATATTTTGTTTCATTCTTTTTATGATGAAATATCTGACATACCTTCAGAAAAACGGAGGCCAATCAAACAAACAAGTGAATCTTTTTCCAAAAATGAAATGAATCATTTAAATGACATTATGTATATGACACTTTCTGCGGACTGTTCATTACATGCGAAGTTAACTGCTGTGTGTATGCTGCCGCTCGAACCATGGAGGAACTTCACACGGTTTCCAAAGAAAAATCATCTAAACCTAAGAACAATACACCAAATAAAAAACGGTTTTAAGTAAAATATTTCCTGAATAGAGCTTTGCCTGAAGTTAAGATCATCAGGAAATCCCATGTCTAAACGTCAAAAGTCAATTTGGAGAAAATACACATTACAGTATAAGACAACGAAAGAAACGATACTTCTTCAAATTGTCGATTCCCTAAAGGCAAAAATAAAGGTTTGGACTGAAAGAAAGAAAACATGGGAAAAGACAAATAAATTCATCAAACAAAATAAACTTTTAAGAAATAATGAAAAACACTTGTGATGGTGAGCATGATAAGCCACCTCCCATGGATGCCAATGAAAGGTTCTGGAAACAGTTGTGGTCTGTACCCGGCGACTGTAACCTTGAGGCACCATGGTCCGTGATTATGGCCATGCAATGCAATCCCTGTGTCCAAACACCATTACTTCACCTTTTCAATTCTTTCGTGGACACAGGTGATGTTTCTCCATGGTTCTGCAAAGGTCGCACAATACTCCTTCCCAAAAAAGAAGACTTAACTGATCCCAAAAACTTCCGCCCTATCACATGTTTGCATACACAATACAAACTATTCACAGGGTGTTTGACAAACCTCGTGTCATCATACTGCTCTGCTAATGATATCATTAACAGAGAGCAGAAGGGAACAAGAAAGGGATGTTGGGGGTGCAAGGATCAACTTCTTGTACAGAAAATGATTTTGGAAGAGGCTAAAACATATCACCGCAACCTCTCCATGTGTTGGATTGTCTACAAGAAAGCATACGACTCTGTCCCTCATGAATCGATTCTGAAGTCTCTGCGTTGTATTGACCTCCCGGAGCGACTACTTCATTTACTCAAGTCTTTAATGAGTTGCTGGTCGACTCAACTTGTGATGTACTCGTAAGGGCAGGTGCAGACTTCGGAATCTATTCCAATCAGAAAGGGAATTGTTTTCCAGGGGGACTCCTTCACCCCTGTCCTTTTTGTTTGTCTCTAAATTCTTTCAGCTTTCTGCTCAACAGAAAGGAGGGTTACCATTCCGGACCTCCTCAGCACAGATCCCCAACACCTCTTACTCATCTCCTTTACATGGATGACATCAAGCTCCTTGCCAAAGGAGATACCAATTTGAAAGAACAGGTTCTCTTTGTCGAGTCCTTTTCTTATGATATTTGCATGACATTTGGACTTGACAAATGTAATACTCTTCATTTGAAACGTGGCAAGGTAGTTAATGGTGGATTGGTCAAGTTACAGGGGATAGGAGTTATTGAGCATCTTGTGGAAGATCAGGCCCCGGGATCATGAAAGTGTCTCAAGTCCATATTTTGTCTTAAGTCTTAAAATTTTGACTTAAGTCAAAATTTAGTCTTAAATTGGGGATCACGAAGCTCGATCTTTAAGAATATCTAAAGTCTAAGACCAAATTTGATCTTAAGTCCTAAGACTGCCCCCGAGTAGACTTAAGACAATATTTGTAGCATTAAAGATGGCTGAAGTGATTCGCCTCATTCGTAGGATTCGTTCTAAGAGAAATACACTACATATTCAGAGGACTTTTCGGGATCGTTTTAACCCTATGGAAATGTATAGCGACGATCAACTCTTTGAAAGATACAGATTTCGTCGTTCTACCATTTTTTTCATTGTTGATTTAATCAGCCATAAACTTGCACATCCCACCCAGCGTTCTCACAGTCTCCCACCCATCATTCAAGTACTGATATTCCTTCAGTTCGTTGCAAGTGGTGCTTTTCACCTATTAGTGGCCCAGTCGTTCTCTGTCAGCAAGGCCACAGCCGGCAGGTGTGTCCATAGAGTGGCAGATTCACTCTGCAGACTCTCAACCCGATTCATCGCTTTTCCGACAGGCCAAAGATCACTTGACGTGAAACGCGCTTTCCATGCTATTGCCGGTAAGTAATACGTCCAATAATCACATTTGAGCATTGACATGATACTCTGAATAAACATATTCACGATAAGGATACATACGGTGCTTTCCAGAGTCAACGGAGGCAGCCATTTTGATCTAAAATTAGCACACGACACTGATGCCACCTATAAATAAACATATCGTATTCGTGCTAAAATCATTTCGATACCTTTCTCTTCTTCATAGATTCAAGCAGTAGTCTGGGATCGCCTGTATAAGTTTGTTTTACTTTATTCAGGATTTCCAAAAGTGCTCGGCTGTGTCGATGGCACACAGATCAGGATTGCGAGTCCAAAGGTAAACGAAGCTGACTTCGTGAACAGGAAGGGATTTCACTCTCTTAATGTTCAGGTAACTGAAAAAATAATTGATGCCTGTGTTCCATTTGGATTTTTAATAAATTTATTAATTTCCAGAAACACTGAATTCATACACCTGTAAATATATATATATAAGAATACTACTACATATCCAGTTTCAGAATTATTACACCAACTCCAATATTACATAAAAAACAGATGTTGACAAAGAAAGATAATTATGTTTATTAACATACATATAAAATATGGGATATTGAATGTATGTGCATGTGCTTAACAATTTTATATCACAAAATTGTGATATGGAGCAAGGATCAACCATTTCATATTCCAAAGGGGGAGTAGCTGAATAAAGAACATTGTCCCTGATAATGTTTTAAAAACAAAATTAGGCAATCCAGATTGTTAAAAGATGTTCTGCCACATGGTTATAGGGTGGTTTTTAAGCAAAATATTCTGGTTAATAGATTAATTTTTTTGTCTTAATATTTAAACAAATTCCAAAACTCCAGTTCCTTTCCCCCTCAAATATATCAAATTTGTTTTTAAAAAATCTCCTTATAGTATTCTAAATACAGAATGCATTTTCTTCAGATGGTTTGTGACCCCAAATTTCTAATCACCAACTGTGTGGCCAACTGGCCTGGATCATGCCATGATGCACGGATATTCAAGGAGAGTAAGCTCTGTCATAATTTTGAAAATGGTAAGTATTCAAGTTTTCAAGATTTATTCTGTCATTCTAGATGCCTATAGAACAAGTGTACTGTCCTCAGATTATAACAATACAGACAATAACATTTAAAACATACTGATTTCACTTCAGCTAAACTGATGGTCCAAAATGCAACATGTCAGTAAATTTATTTATTGTTTTTATCAGAAAATATGGTGATAATACATAGTGAAAAAACTTAATGTCCCATGTAGGTCAATGTAGAGTGATAAAGTTCCTGAACATTGTAGAAAACTATTTTGGATTTACATATACACGTACACATCAATGATACAGACATGTATTTAATTCATAAGTGCAACTCCTTGATGTATTTAACTGCATACATGGTGTAAGAGCGTCTCTCACTCTATCATTTGGTCACATATCCCATATCGTGAACTAGTAAATATAAAATGAAGGCTATAGCAAACATTAAAATATGTTGTGTGACCCAAGTTGAATTTGTTATCAAGAACTGTACAATATCAGCATTGGCAGATTTCCTTGTCATAGCTGAAATACTAATTTTGTGTAATAAGTCTTAGCATCTGTATTTAGTGTTTAATCAGGTCATACCTATGCAAAGTGTTAAAGATTAACGAATATGAATATGTATTTCAGGTCTTCATGATGGATTCCTGCTAGGGGACTCTGGATACCCCTGCAGACGCTACCTGATGACTCCCTACCACAATACTGGCGATCTGAGGCATAAAGAGAGATATACTTATTCTCTCTGCAGGACACGTGTACTCATTGAACAGACCTTTGGCATTTTAAAAAGACGCTTTCCTTGTCTGTCTACTGGACTGAGAACCAATCCAACCAGAGCCTGTACATATGTTATCTCATGTGTAATATTACATAATATAGGAATTGTGAAACAAGATATTGTAATCAATGATGTAGATGAATTGACAGTACAGGGTCCAGATCAGCAGCAGCAGCAGCTTCAGGGAAATGATGGCTTCAGTATCACAGACCATATTGCCTAGAGCTATTTCAATTAATCATTCTGTGAAAAATTTCAGAAGAAAGTTGTTAATTTCTATAAAACATTAGATAGAACATATAATTACTCAGAGTTGAAGTTGCAATATTACTCTGTGAAGCTGAAAGTTGGGTCAATATTTCGTATTTGCAATATTGTCAATTTTTGCTGCAGTTTACCTACTCGAATTTGTTCTCTTATCAGTTGTCTAGAATCCTTAACTTTCTCTAGTTCCTCTTTTAGCATTTCTTCTTCAGTTGACACTTTCACATGTCCAGCTGGTTCACCCCCCAGAAAAGAACTTGAAATCATAGTTGGGTCCAGATCAGTGATGTCAGTGATGCTGAAGGCCAAATCATCAGCTGAGTTCAGATCAACTTCAGTGGTTGTTGCTCCATCATGTGGGGCTTCAGCAGTTTCTGAGATATTGATGAAGTCTGAAAACAATAATTACTAAAGTCATTATTTATTCTTTCAAACATGAACTTCTCTATCGTTATGTCACATCTATTGAACAGAAATAGAACGTAAGCATTACATGTTATTGAGTTAAAGATGTTCCAAGCACCAAGTGTATCATAATTAGAAATGTAAAATGAACATATGTATATGTGGAACTTAAATTCATTAGCACATTTTATGTAAATTTGTCTCTTCACAGTGGACAACAATTGCACAATCAGTTAAAATATAAACTGTTAAAGCTAATTTAATAGAATATCTTATGTTTGTATGCATGATCTCTACTGATCATGTTGCCATCTTCATCTGGAAAGAAATTAACAAATACAACAGGTATTCTCCAGATCAAGCATCAAGATGTTGTGTTATATTGGAATTACATAATCACTAATTGCCAACCAAAGTAAACTTTATGTGGAAAGTTATTTTTTTTCTGTTTTTCAATAACTTCAACCATTGGTATTTACTTTTCATGATGTTACATTTCAAACCTTTTACATATTTATCTGTATATTTTTACAACTTGTATAAATCAATTTACTTTCTGTGTCAATCCCGCCATCCACCCCACACAAACTTGGTCTCCCCTCCAAATTATCCAGCACTGGTTGCTCGGGTACAGATGGGGAATTGGCTCTTGTACCACCACCTGTTGGGGGTCTCATATATGAGCTTCTCTTTGCCTTGGCTAAAAAAAACATGATGAAATCATAACATGTTGGAATCAGTACACACGTATTGTACATAACTGAGAATGTTCAACGTGATGTCATCAATAACAGTAAAATCATTAATTGCATTTTTGAACAATACATTATATATTCTGATATGAAGTTGTGTCATGTGAAGCTTGCAATATTAATATAGACAGTTCCATATCAGTTAATTGTAATATATTAAATTACTGTTTCATATTACATAATGATTTTGGTCAGATGGAAATTAAATAAAATTGTATGCTGTAAAGAAATAGATTTCAAGTATCAGAATATAAATTTTACCTTTCTGTTTGATATTTTGATACTTTTTCTTTATTTCACTCAGAGTTCTGAGTCCAGATCGACCCCTTCTGCAACAAACAAATGTCTCTCAGCCTGTTATTTCTGGGATGTGCAGGTTATATGGCAATATGTATACGAGATATGTTTGATAAGCCATGTTGGATTATTAACAGTCACTGCCTGCATGGTCACTGTTGTACACTGTACGTCTTTGGTCAAAATACTAGCCTAAATGATAATTCAGAATACGCTGATATTTCAATAATCCTTTGACAAATAAACACTAGAAGGTTTTTTTGTTCACGTATGTCGAAATCACATTTAGGTTGGGCAGTATTTAAGAAACTATTAGTCCAGCTACTTTGGTTATTGTTACGAGTTGATGAGGCAGGCGATTTCTTCCCAGGCTTTGGCTTCCGTCCAAACGACCGAAGAGAAGACCCTCCCTCATAGTCACTTCCTCGACTAGGATAACCTCCTCTTCCTTTGTCCAGTTGACTTTTCTTTTACTTGTTGCATCTATATTTGCTAAAGCAGACGAGCTGTCATCGGCAAGAGCTGTCATCGGCACGCGCTGCGTGTTTACAAACAACGGAATATTCGCGTCTCCGTTTGCTGAAGAGTTCCGCTGTTACCGTACTTACGCGAAAATATTACACACGTTGTATTTGTTGATATTTAATTATTTGACGTGTGTGGACAGGTGCGTGCAGGTGCCTTGTGGTCTTCTTTCACTAAAGAACCCACTTACATGCTGATAGCATTCTGAGAAGAGCGTGCATTGCCATGGTGACAGACTTAAGCTTAGTCTCACTTAACATTTTGCTAAGACCGTTTCATGATCCAGTCTTAGCACGAGTCTTAGCTAAGCAAAAACAACCAAACTTAAGACAAATTTCTAAGTTTTCAGCTAAGCAATTTTCAGACTTAAGACACTTCGGGCCGAGTACATGATCTGGAGCTCAGAGCTAAATGATCCCGAGTCCTTTCCTATTCCTTTGGAGTAGTTGATTGGACAAAACAAGACATCCAGAGTCTTGACCGCCTGACCAGAAGGATCATGTCTGATAACAGAGCCCACCACCCTCGTTCTTCTCTTAACCGTTTATATATGCCAATCAATTCTGGATGTCGGGGTTTGATTAATGTGGAGGCTCTTCATGATAGAATTTTATTGTGTACTTTTACACATATTTATTTATCGGATGACCCTTTGGTGATGCATGTCAAGACTCATGAAGAAAGCAAGGAATTCCACAGCTATTTTACGCGTGCCAATGTTGTTGGACAAAATCTGAAATTTGAGGTTGATTTTGTTGATGGTGATGTACTGCTGGATGGTACAGCAATGGGAATAAACCAAGTGAAGTCCTTTACCAAGTTTGCCCAGAGTCGGTCTTTTGTGGAGAAACTTTCTGAGAAACCATTGCATCGTGTGTACATGCAGTGTGTGGAACAGAATGGCGATCCCACCGACTCCTTCGCTTGGATGAAGTCGGCAGGTCTTAAATGTGAAACTGAGGGCTTCCTTTCTGCTGCTCGGGGCTCACTTCCCACTAGCAATCGCCAAAATGTGATTCTTAAAGAAAATATCAATATGAAATGTCGACTATGTAATGAAGTTACAGAGACTGTCCAACACCTTGTTAGTGGATGCCCTTCCTTGGCACAAACAGCATATCTAAACGACATGATGGCATGGCACGTTGCTTTTACTACCGTCTCTGCCATGTCTGGGGCATTGACTCCGAGGTCCATCCATGGTATGACCCTGAACATGTAGAGGGCGTTATGGAAAATGATGCTTTCAAACTTCTGTGGAATAGGCCCATATACAGCCTCAGAAGAATTCCTGCCAACAAACCTGATCTTGTCCTTTTTGATAAAGCCAATGAATTTATTTATATCATTGAATTTTCTGTTCCTTTTGACAACAATGTGATTGGCAAGATTCAGGTAAGGCATCATAAGTATGCGGACCTCGCCTTTGAAATGTCTCGCTTGCATACCAAGTACACTGTCGTCAGGCTCCCCATTGTTCTCGGTGCCCTTGGTTTGGTACCTCCTGATCTCTTGGCGCATATCAGGAGAGTGCCCGGGTTCTCCACCGGGAGCACAGCTCTTCTGACAATCTGGGTAATGCAGAAGGCTTCAGTGTTTGGGAGCCTTCATATTCTCCGGAAAGTTCTTGGTGGGTTCGACTAGGCAGTGTTTCCTGGGAGAAGTCCCATTCACTGTCTGGGCTGCGTGTTGAGGGGGCGAGGGCCCTGAGCTGATGATGAGCCTTACCGGCCTGACTGTGCCAGGATCACCCGAACCCTCTCTGCTGCATTTGCATCTTTTATCTGTAAAACATACTAATTAGTATATTCAATTAAGATAATGTTAGTGAAATATAAAGTTCTGCCTGACATTTCTGCCGGAAAAATATTTCCACCAGAAATTTCTGCAGGACAAAAATATTCGCCAGAAATTTCTACAGAAAATTTGTGAGCTTATTGACACGTGAACACATCTTCCCAATGATATTAAATAGGGCTTTGTAGCTTGCTTCCTTCTGTGTGTCAAGTTAGGACACGCTGGTCTTCCTAAGTCGTCCAACCGGGCGTTATTGGCTTGTGTTGGCCGTTATGCTTTCATGACTGGGTAAAAAAGACAATATTGCACTGGCTAGTAGAAAGATCGTTATAAAGTTAAAACAAAAATTGAGGTCACTGGATGTCAGTGAGACACTTGAAGGCTCCCTGAAGGTAAGACCAGAAACCTGAAAGGATAATGTCATTTTTAGAAAGGATATAAATAATATATATATAGGCGATAGATCACCACCAACTGAATGTAGATCACCATGATAAGGACCATGGGGATTTACAGTACTTTTCTTCCTGCATGGACGCTAGTTGGATTTACAGTACTTTTCTTCCTGCATGGACCCTAGTTGGATTTACACCATTACCTCTGTCGTTGTGCTATTTATCTTTTGACAAAGCGCATTCATTAAAAGTGTCACTATCTTCTTTTTAAAAAACAAAAACAACAACAATTAAACAAAACTTGACATTACTATAAAGATCTTTGAAATTTTTACACTGAGCTTTTTATCCCTTGTAATGGAACAATCAACACAGACAAGCAAAACTTTCTTGAACTTTGTTCTTTCAGCACAAGAGATACATCGCACGAGCTCGTGAACTTGAGAGGCGCACAATAGTATAAAAATACAATGTCCAACATCACGTCATGGGATTCTTTGCGCTTGTGGACAAATGACGAACAAATATGGCTTCTTACTTCGCAGTTTAGTGACTTGTATTTCTTATTATTTCAGTTAAGGTGAAACAGGCCTACTGAGAAGCCACACCACGAATTCTTCTTGCATCCATGTGAAATGGCACAGCCTCATTCCGCGATATGAATAACCAGCTGCATTTGTATTATCAAAGAAGAATATTAGTTTTCGCATAAAATGCTTCAGCAAATTTACAAATGGAAATTACTTCATTTTCCCCAATTTCGTGAAGTTCCAACGTAACAATTGGTGTTTTTCTTTATTGAAACCTGAAAGAATGAATGTGTAGAAATTTATCCCATAAAGGACAGAGTTCAAAATCACATACTAAAAAGTAACCTGCATGTTTTACCCCTAGGGTGATAATGCCGACCGAATATGGCCACTCATCGAACTCAACTTTATACAATGTTGTTGACTTTAGTGAAGCGTAATGTTCAGAAACATTGGAATGAATTAATAAAAACATGAGCGAAGTGTATCGATTATTTTTGAAAAGTGTCATGTACCTGAGAGTTAATCAAATCCGACTTCTTCTGCTGTATGGATGAAGGATCCCTGGCGGAGGATGATGAACGGATACATGGCATGCAGCTGAGTAAACAGTTTCAGGAAATGGAACGTTATTTGACATTGCAAATAAATATTGTGTAGGCGCCGAAGCAATACGTGACACCCTGCGGGCGACATAATATGCATAATCCAAACAAATCAAATAAAAAGGTTCAAGAAAACATTATGTTGTTGTAATTAGCTCTAATATCGTGTCTAAGATTCTGCAGCATGTTGGGGGTTTTTTAGTTAGGAGTAGAGGCATTGAAATAGGTTTATTGTCTAGATAAAGACTTGCATTTTGGCAAATTGGATACCTGGATAATATTATAGTAGTGACCTCCAATTACCTTAAACTATTGTAAATGTACAAACCCTTTCTATAATCATTAGAAATCCCTAAATCTCCTAAAGCACTCCTTGTACGATTTCGACTTTGTTGTGTTCATAAATCACTAACAATTTGATAGTATCATAGTGATTATTCCTGAAGTCTTCATACACGCGCATCTGTGAGAAAAATGAAACAATTACTTCTGTTGCTGTAATGTTGTATTCATCCGCAAAGCTTATACAAAACGCTTCTTTGTCGACGTTGCCGTTTTGGTAATGTGAAAAGCTTTCCCATTAGATATCAATTTGATAGGTTTTGAAACGCATTTGTAATAAAATAACATCTCAACTTTTGTTCAGTAATGTATAATTGCTGGCCCAAAGACGTGAGCAACATAAACTCTTAAAAAAGTAGGGAAATTTCATTTTTAATTTGCCATTTGAAAAATTGGGAGATATATCTGAGTCCATCAATGTTGATAATAATGAATGTTTTGAGTACAGTAAATGCTCTTGAAAGATGATTGGTGAAATTGCACGTGTGAGATTTTATTTTCAAACAAAACAAACGGCAAGAAACAAACACTAACAACTGTGTGATGCAAGATGACTGTCAAAAGTAATGGCCTACAGTGATTTATCAGCCTTCTCGAAAACCGTCAAAATCAAGAATGACATCCCATGCACGTGTTTAGGGCCACAGCGTTGTGCACGTGCGATGTGTTAGGGGTGATGATCAAGAGAAATGGTGGTACGTTCATAAGATGTCTGCCTTTGAAAATTTTGTTAAGGCGTATATTTTCCTATCCCAACTGAAAGTCAATGTTTAAGACTATACTTTTTAAGAGTATAGTTGCGATCTACAGACCGTTTTTTATATTGTATTGTGAAGTGTGGAGATTTAGTTTTATGGTTGCATACTAGTTTTAAACAATATCTGAGACTCTAGTTACTTTACTGTCCTTTGATGACATGATTTTATATTAACTACATGTATGTATTGTCCATGTATAGCCTTTTCCTCACGATATCACTGAAATACTGCCGATGTGATTTTAACTTTTAATTCATTGGGCAACGTTACTATATGTGCTCGAACATGTTTATCTCCAGCCAACACCTATTCACGAGGCCTCGTTTCGTGGCCTCGTCTCTTCTATCTAGTTCAAAAACCAATATTAAACCCCACCCACGGAGGGGAATAACATACGTGTGATGTCCAAAATAAACAGTGA